ACATGTGTCCAACATTCTTGTTATACTTACACATGTGTCCAACAGGTGCTGCATAAGCCTCCTGTGGCCCGGACAGGAGAATCAAATGACCATGAGCGACCAGGGTCAAGGCTGGGATTTGTCGCGATGGCACCTGAGCAAGCATCAGATCAAACGACCAGCAAGAAGGTAATGTTTAAGATTGTAGTCTTACCTTTAATTATATCATATGTCATAAATTTTGTATAGGATGTCTGCAACATTTAAATGATGTCTTAGAGCGCTTTTGTGTTTGCTCTCAATGTATCTGTTTGTATTAATGGTGCACTATATTATATACTGTATGTATCTGTACGGTTATCCCATACATATTTATATCCAAATGTGTATTCCATGGCTGTATGTCTATGTTTCTTCCATGGATATATTCTATGTGTCTATATGGTGTGCTCCATGCATTCATATATCTATATATATATATAAACTTCTTAGTATGGTTACCTCAGTGGTGTCACTGCTGTTGTAATTGATGGTACAGTTCAGTGACATCATACCACTCTAATGAAATGAAAATTGAGAAAACATCACAATGATTTGATAAACTATGATTGTTGTTTCTTGGTACAAGCTGTTATGTTGTGCTTCAGGCTACTAGACGACCCCTCTCAGCACAATCCAAACGAACAGCAACTCCATCTAGTGGTGAAAAGAAGAAAGGTCACTCTGATCCAGCAGGGGATACCATAACCAATGTATCGTCACAGCAGGAGAATTCCCCTGAGGTCAAAGTCACAGGTTTCACTGATAGGGAGATAGAAATCCAAAATCTCATGAAGAAACATTTAACAAGACCTTTGTCTTCCATCTCTAATAATCTCCCCTCACCCAAGTCGCCAAAGTCACCAAAATCACCCAAATGTAAAATTCCGAAATCTCCCACTGTTGTGTCATCAGCTAGATCGGGGTCAAAACCTTCATCGGCAAGGTCAGAGTTGAAGGTAGGCTCGCCAAGGTCAAAGAAGGAGAAGACGATTGACGATATGATTGAGAAGCACCTGAAGCGTCCAGCGTCTGTGTTCACACCTGATGTTATGAATGAATCAATGGGTGATTCCTCGCCATCACCGCCGTCATCTCCAGTACCTGTTGTCAAGGAGACAGATTCATCAACACTACCACTACCAGGCACAGTAAGTTATTAATCCTGCTAGATTTCCTCGTATGTCCCTGTTAGACTAAGTAGGACTGTGTTATGATGGTACACGAGGGTAAAATCTCAAGGTCAGGACACCAGACCTTAGTTGCAAAAAGCTTGAATAGAGTTTTAAAATTATTAAAGAAAATTTCAAATATGAATACAGAACATCTGACACCGTTTCACTGCTACGTATTTGTTGGAACAGGTAAGATTGATGTGTTTTGAGGAATAATTTTGCTCAGAAAGCCTTTGTTTCTTACTGGCAACAATTTGAACTTTTCATCGACAAATGGTTCAAGATAACCAACCTTTAAGCAAGGGGGGCCAGTTATTCATGACATAAACGTTGGATGTAGGACAAAATACATGTGTGGTGAGGTTCAAACAAATACACAACACATATTCAGCTTAGTATGCTTCACACTAACACCTGTAACTTATAAGACAGGTGTATTGAGACTTCACATAACAAGTAATTTTGTTTCCTGTTTTTCCACAGAAGACCAGCAAAAGTGGTATCAATAGTGCTACATCACTACCAAGTCCAAAGTCCACCCTAGTTTCTGAGCTGTCTACTGCTGAAAGGTACTGAACATTTCTTACCTGTATTCGTATACAGGATAAACTGTCACAAATAAAACTTGGGGTTGTATACACTGACATACAGTATAAACTTACTAAGCTAACTAGATATTTACCTTAAGTTTGTATACAAGGATATCATCAATTGTAAATGTATTTTTAGCTAAGGCGTTAGCCGCCAGCTATTGGTATTACTT